ACACAACATAACATTTGACAACAACAATTTCGTAATTGTGTTGTTGTTTTACCCGACACAAACTAACCGCAACAGTAACAGCGTGCAAAGCACAAAAAAAAATCCGAACAATAACGGATTCACAATTCCAAAATTCTTCATAATAAATTTTTCAGTTTGAAGAGAAAAAAAAACGGCCAAAGAATAACAGTCGAACAGAGAAAAAAAAAAACAAAACAAAAAAAATCACTCTCTATTATCTTTGCATCGTTATAACTGTGCAGAAAGATTCGGATTTCATTTTTCTACAGCTTGTCAGAGGAGACGAAGAGAAAAATTCACCACGATCGATAATCACGACTTACTTCTCTCACTTCACAATATCCGATTTTCCATGGCCAATGTTGCTTTCAACATTTCTTTTTGCACCGAAATGCATAACGAATGTGCTAAAATATAATACGGAACAGAACAGAGATAAGAATTTCTCGCCAAGCTCTCTCGCTCCCGTCTCTTCGCCAACTCGTTGAAGAACCGTGTGGAAAAAGAGGCATTTTACAAAACCGCAAAAATACATATATACCCATATTTCCCGTACAAGTTTTTTTTTATTCGTTGTTGTTATTTTGTACGATCGAGTTCAATGCACATTTATTGCCTAAAAATAATTTATTAAAATTGCCGGCAATATTCATATAACATGTCACATAAACCATTTTATGCAATTTATACATCTAAATTGGATGTTTTGGTATTTGTACATTGTGTGTGTGTGTGTGTTGCGGGACAAAAGGAAACAGCGGCAACACATGGCGAATGTGTTGAGGTAGCATAAGGCGCGGAGGATGAGGCATTTTGAAATGTACCGAAAAAAAAACGCGGACAATCTTCAAAACCAAGCAACATCTCTCTCTTGTTCCAACGAGGATTTAATTTCTCTGGAACAAGGAGATGAGAAAAAAAAGGTTATGGTTTACAGAAAACCGATTTCAGAGCGAAAAAAAAAATGATGGCTAAAACTCAATTGCATTGTGGTTTTTGGTGGCAACACGAGAAATATATTTTGTATCAACTGGGGGAATACAGTATAAATTGCGAGCTGCCATCAGGATGCTATGATGAACATGCAACCGTTTTTTCTCTTTCTATGCTATCATTAAGTTGAAAACAAAACGATGGACAAAAGGTACTTCAATTCAACGAATTCCTAGTTCAAATCACTTAAATCATTTGTACAAAGTATGTAATTGCCGTTGGTGTACACAAATCACTTAGTAACATTATCGTAGTTTTAATACTAAAAGAGTTCCTATTGTTATTATATCGAAATTAGCAATAACTTTAACGTTGAGAAAAACTGAAATTGATACAAACAATGTTTTGACTCTCTGTCAGAGAGAAAAAAAGCACTTGCGCCATTTGGTCTCAATTTCTCTATTATATATCTCTCTCAAGCGTTGTGAGATCGGCATATAGAGAATCAATTTAATTCAGGAGCCTTGTGCTTTTCCATATATTTATGTAAAAAGGTTCCAGAGATCACGAGGCCGCCAGAATGGGGGACCCAAATTGAATGGCGTTGTGCACATCACACAAACAATCTGATCTGCATACCAAACTCTCGCGAAAACGGCTGTGTCCCGATCGATCGACAGTCGCGCGCTCAAGCGCATTTATTCATTCGCTTTTATTATTACGATCGATGAATGTTATACTGAAGGCGGAGTTGAAAAACGAACAGAAAAATTATGTTTTATTACTGCTTGCACATTGCGCATTCACTCACAGATTAAATTCGTTTGGTAGTTGGAATAATTGTTTTTGAAAGTTTATCAGAGAAAATAAAAAAAAGAAAACCAACGGAGGTACACACACATATGTATCGAGAAGACAACAGAAAGAAACGTTTTTTGGCTGTGGATTACACATATCGTCGAGAGACAATAAACGAAAGAGAGTGAGATATAGATAGAGACAAAGAAGGGAGAGAGAGAGCAATGCAGACGACCGATGTATTTTTGCGATTGTGGATACGTATAATAAATGCGTAAATTATGTATTGCCTGCTATTTTTGTTTCATTTTCTGCTTAATTTTCTGTAGCTAAAAGGTTAAGCAATAAAACGGCGATGGCCCTGAGAAAGAGAGAAAAGACCCGCGTTTAGCATCTCAACACAAAAGGACTTTTTTCTCTTTCGAATTTTTCCCATTTTTTAACAGCTAGAGAAGAGCGTTGGCTTTTCATTTTTAAGGGTATCATGCCGCAGATTGAACCGCGTATAATTCAAAATTGAAATTGTATTTTAAGTATCTATGTGATTTATTTATTGCAGATTAAATTAAAATAATAATCGATCGCCGCAGAAAATTGCGAGAGAGAAAAAAAAAACGTTTCTCATTTCGGTTGGTATGAGATTTCCATATGTGCAGAGAAAGATAGAGAAGTTTGCACAGTGGCCACCGGTTGAGACAAGGAGCGCTGAACATTGGGAGCGAAGAGAAGAAAGAAGACACATTCAATTTTTTCATTTACTTTAAATAATTATTTTGATAATTTATAAATGGAATGTGTATTTTCCGTTGTGCGGAGCAAGAAATTGAGATTGAATGCTGTAGATAGAGAAAAAGCACTTAATAAAGTGTACGTAGTGGTGTGTTTTTTTTCTACTCTTTTCGCTGTAAGAGTGAAAAAGCATTGCAAAAAACACGATCGAACCGTCAACATTTTGAGCGATGAGATCTGTGCGAATTACAGTTTAACTACCACGTTATTTATCGTTATTAAAAAAAAAATACTCAGCAGCACCAATAATAACAACTATGAATGTATTTGAATAAGACTGACAGTGATTGTCGATGTGGTTGTATGTGCGTGGATCGCTAAAACGTTTGAACACTGCTGACTGGCTTGTGTGTGTGCGCGCGTATATATATATATGTGTGTGTGAGTATTCGTTCTTAATTAATCGATAGAATATTCGATAGCATGCCAAAATTAATTACTGATTTTGCCGATACAGGTTTATTTGTTGTTGGGCTGAACTGTGCTCGTTCTTCGTATAACATGGATATACAGTATTTATAAACGCCCAACATGAACGCAACGGTATACATTTTAACATTCCATACTAGATCTCTCACTCGGATGCGATCTTACTCATTTCATATGTAATATATATTTTTTGCCATTTTCGATCAGTTGCCTCGATGTGGTGAGCTGATGAATTTTAGGTCATTGTGCATAACTGACATTCATTTTTAGAATAAAATCCTATTTGAACTAAACTATATATCGACATTCCATGCGATTTATGTAAAAAAACACAGATGAATGGAAAAAAGGGGTGGATGGATTGGAAAAAAATGGAAATTTTTCAGCAATTAATTAATTAATTTGTGAATCCAGTTATATATTATCTCTCCGACTGCATGCACTCTTCTTCATTCATTTAATTGAATACCACAATATGAGTTATATCGAGGCTTGAAACGTATTTGGTCAATTGTACATTTGTATTTTTTCTTTCACCGTGACATATTTGGACTGTTGAACAAACAACCAGTGTGGCAAGAAGCAGCCGCAACCATTTATGTTTGTTTCCATCGATCGATTTTGTCTTTTGACTCGTTTTCTGATTTCAATCGCACAACAAATTTAAACGATTTATTACATAATAGTTCTTGATTCGTCCGATCGGTATTTTTATTGACGTTTTAATCGTTGACAAATGAAAGACAAAAAAAAACCACTGATCAAATCACAGAAAGTTAGTTTGCGCACTTCCAATAAACATTCATTGATGCTTTACATTCATCGCTAATCACTATATTTATTGCTTAATCACTCAGTCAGTGTCTCGAAATCATACTCCAAATGTGCGCCACGATTCGTCTATTACGATTTTCTTGACGTTTATGACGATGGTGGCTCATTGGATGCATGTTTTTTGGTTCGTTCGTTTGATTTTCACAAAATATGGCTAATGAAAACTTCAAACAGGTTATCGAAAATAAATAAACTATCTAACATTTTATAAGCGCACTATTTGATCTGGTTTTTTTTTCTTTTCTTTCTCGAGTTTGTTTAGCGCGATTTTATACAGCAGATACATTGGGCAGAAGTGAATGATGAATTATTGCAAATATCAATAGCCATTGATTGGTTTCGATAAAGTATTCGTTATTATGATGCAATATATTCCACATGGTGTGGTGCATATCGTTTCATTCATGCATCGATTCGATTCAATCGAACCTACGATTTGTTTTTCTATCCTCAATATTTTAAGCTGAGAAAAAAGTCGTCGTTGAAACGTGATATTTCTTCTTGAGATACAGAAAACGTTGTGTGCACAATATTACCCAATCGATTTGATCATCGCGCGCACACACACAACGATATAGAGAAATAACATGACGGTAACTACCATTTGGAAAAAATAAGGTTTCAATGCGTTTATTTTATTTCATTAAAAATCCATAAAGTTATAGTCGAAAATACCTTCCGAATCAATTATCGATTCGATTTCGATTCCTGTTTTCTTCGCAATTCGATACTTAATAAATGCCATTTCGCGTTTTACCGCTAACGTGTTTTGCTAAATTGCAAACGGAGCGATGAAGAGAGCGAATATTTAAGTTACTATTTTTTTCCTCTCTATTTAAATTAAAATGATTTTCACTTTGGGATCAGGTAATAAGAATTGCGCATTGCTTGTACACAGTACACACATGTATCATATTGAGCGGGATGTGTGTGTTCGCGCACATACGATGTGGAGTTACGTTTTAATAACGCACGTAAATTCAATCCATTATATTCTTTGAAAATTAAACATAATGTGCCCGCTATTTTGAATTCATAAGCTGACTTTGGTGATTTGGGCTCCTGCTCCGCATATATTTTCAAAAATGATTCATGAAAAATTGTCCTGTTTATTTCTTATTTGTCAAAATTCATTACTTTGTTGAAAATTTATGTCAATCAGACAGAACGATGGTTCAAAAGTGAAAAACGAGTTATGCTGTTGTTTTACGCAAAACATGCTCTTTATTATGATCAATTCATAAATCAGATAATAGAAATATTAGTTCTTCATTTTTAATTGATTCACTCACAGCGGCCCTTTGCACAACTCAATGCAATATCTTGTGCTTGTCTACGTAAGATTTTGCCTGCATTATTTCTCGGAATGCTGTTCACAAAAAAGACCCCAGCCCGAAGTTTATAGTGGTCGGGAAATTGATCTGTGGAAAAATTGCAAATAATTCATCAAATCGATCTTTGACTATATACAGAAACATACATACTTGCGACCATTTGATAGATATCATTTTCGGATATTCTTGAATTTGTTTTGCGCACAACAAGAGCGACCGGTATATCTCCTGCCAAATCATCCGGTATTCCAGTCACGCATACATTTTCAATGTCCGGCGATTTGATCAGAAAACTTTCAATGTCAGACGGTGCAAATTTCTTACTACAATACTTCAATAAATCTTTTGCTCTACCAACGATAAATATGTTTCCATCTCTATCCACATGACCGATGTCTCCAGTGCGATAGAAACCTTCATCGTCAATAACCTCTCTCGTCAAATCATTACGACCATGGTAGCCGATGAATTTATATGAGCTCTTCACATATATCTCACCGTCCATATCAATGCCAACACGATTACCATTTTCGTCGATAATTTTTAAATTTAAACCATTTAATAATTTACCAATGGTATCCTTTCCACTTTTTGGATAATCAATTGTTAAAAATGATGCCATTTCTGATAATGAAAATAAAAAGTACTGAATATGATAGATATGTACCTTTTTGGTCTAGAAAAAAAATTACCTGATGTTCCATACGAATTCACTGCAGATCCATTTGTCAAATATGAATTATATTCGTTTAGCGCATCAAATGGCACCTTGGTGCCGCATACCAATTGAAGTCGAATGCTGGACAATTTCTTTTTTGAGAGTAAACCACTTTTTAAATTTGATACCATTTGATAGGGTGGTGTGATTAGGAATGAAATTTTATATTTCTCAATTAATTGCAATTGCCATTCGGGTGTATATGGTTTTTCGGTGATCACACGCTTCGCTCCATTGAAAGTTGCCAGCAAAAGTGCGATTAAACTCGTTATCCAATCGATGGAATTCATATTGAGGATAACACTATTGGTATCTACAACTTTTGTCCGTAAGATGCCCGAAATTAGAGCGGCATGCGATAAGAGAACACCTGAATATTGAAATCGAGATGAAGCCAATGTTTATGAATGAATGTAGAAATAATGGTTCCATGTTTTGAGATTTATTCTACCTTTGGATGTTCCGGTTGTACCTGATGAACACATTTTTATCGCGACATCATTGATACCATCCACTTTAGTCGGTCTAAAAAATAATTTAAATAATTTATGTGACACAGAATATTCAATGTAAAGTTCTAATGCATGGATAAATTACATGAATCTTGTTTCCTTTCCGGTTTTTTGAAAGAGTGCTTCAACCGATTCTGAATCACCTTTTTCACCATTCAATGTGAAAATCTTTGCATTACTGCCAGCCTCTCTAAGACTTTCACGGACTAAATCGTAGAATTCAACATCACAGAATATGACGCTCGGTTTGGATCTTTCGAATATCGGAGCCAAGTCCTCCTTTCCGAGTGTAACACTGCACATATCTGGTATAGCACCCATAGCGAACGCAGCAAACATTAGTGCTGCCACAGCCTCGGAATTTTTCACCATAAATCCAAACATTTGCTTTGGCTTGTAACCGCGATTTTGGAGATTTTGTGCGACGCGAACTGTTATTTCAAAAAGATCTTTGTACTTCAATTGTTTACCTGTATCAGCGTTTATCTATCATGAAGAAAAAATGATTGATTGTGTTATACGAATCGTTACAATGGTCTGAATTTGTTAAAAATAAAACATTTATTGAAAAAATCTTTTAACTGTGAAACATTTTCATACCTGAGCAACTTTTGCTCCGTTTTTTTTCATTGCGCTCAAAGCCATATGAGCAATTGAAGTTTCCGAATTGTGTAATTCTGGAACACAATTGCCCCACAATTTCGTGTTTTCGTCGAAATTTCCTTTTTGAAAAGAATGAAAATGAAATTTTTTTCAAAACTATTCATTTTATTTTCGGATGATTTGAAATTAAGGAAAAGCAAATTACCTCCGTTTCCTGCAATGTTGCATATCTTAACCAAAAAAAAAGAAAAAAATATACTCAGTCTTTAAATTAAATTGAATTTTTAAGTTTAACACAAAAATTATTAAACGAATAAAAAAGCGTCTCTTTATTTTAACAATTAAAAGAATTAATAAATTTAATTTCATTGTTTTACTCACGCAAAATGCAAAGAATAGTATGAAAGCTCGAATTTTAAACGACATTCTGATATTAATATATAGAATATTACTTAAAAGTAAATACGTGTTAATTGAAGCGACATGGTGTATTTATACTCAATTTTTATACCACAAAAATGTTATAGAAAATTCCAAATAATTTATATAATGAAAAATATTGACATTGGCTGAATTATTTTTCATTTCGTTTATCTCCATATTCATCTATTTAGCTAGGTATTTATTTGCTTTACTCATGCCGCCAGACATTAACGTAGTCAGCGACAATGAGAAAAACAAAATTCCAGAATATTTCCAAAATTAGATGAATAAACTGTTACGTTATACTGTTTAAACTTCAGGGATGAAGTAAACAGTCAAACAAATTCGATAAATTGCCATCGATTATTGGTGGCAAAAAATGAAATATTTTATGAAAAAATCATTCATGCATTTCATTTTATTTCTTTTTTATTTCTCGACACCTAAAAGGTAATGGCCGATTTTAGGCATGAGAAGTCGTGGTAACAAAATTTCAGCATTCAGGTACAAATGTTCCTTTGAAACTCTCTACAACAATTTCTTCTTTTCTACGTATCAGTTTGACAGATGATGTTCTGGGAATGCTCTCTACTTCGCTCCATTGAAAGTCGCTACTAATGCTACGTTTAAACTAGATATCCAAAAATCGTAACTCTGTATAGATCTCCTCCGTCCCCGTTTCTTCAAAGAGTACCTCAACCTGTTCTGAATCACCTTTTCCACCATTCAATGTGAAAACCTTTGCATTCCTTCTAGCCCTTTTAAGATTTGCATGCACTAAACCGTAGAAATCAACAACATCTAACCACCCAGTTTCAATTGAAAAAAATATAAGGCTGTAATTTTTGTATTCGTAAACCGATTCGTTTCATCCAAAGTATCAAACCAATAAATGCCATTTCGCGTTTTACCGCTAACGTGTTTTGCTAAATTGCAAACTATTTTTTTTCTCTCTATTTGAATTAAAATGATTTTCGCTTTGGGATCAGGTAATAAGAATTGCGCATTGCTTGTACACACGTGTATCATATTGAGCGGGATGTGTGTGTGCGCGCACATACGATATGGAGTTACGTACGTTAAAACGTTTTAATAACGCACGTACATTCAATCCATTATATTCTTCGAAAATTAAACATAATTTGCCCGCTATTTTGAATTCATATTCGCGCACATACAAACACACATAATTTCCATATATGCTTCTTTGCTGATGGAAAACAAGAAAAAAACGACAGCATTGCCTTTAAAAAAACCTGATAAAAATCTATTGAACGTAGTCGAAATACGTTTCATTTAAAATATACAAGTGCATTTTAAATTGCGTTAAGATTGTTATTTTGCAATTTTATATGATCATAAATTATGATATTTTATTGATTACTTTGTGTGTATGTCGTTAATGTACACATTATGATCTCGTCGCTTTATTTTATCTAGACAAAAGCCCACAAATGTGCTCGCACCGTCGTTTCCTATTTCAAGCCTCTCTTTCTCGCTAGTCTTTTTTTCTCTCTCTGTATATCGCCTATTCACATCCTCGATCGATGTGTCGCTCGTTGATTTCATTTTGTTCGAAGAGACAACAAAAACAAACGGAACAAGGTCCATATATTTTCGATGAGAGATTGAATTCCACGTTCATGTTCGAAAATATCTTTCTTTATCATAGTTTAAATGATCTTATATGTGCCTATGCGATTGCTCGACTGTCATGAAATTTGTAAAACGAACCAGCTGGAAGTATCGATACATCATCGCATTTTCAGCGGGAGAATTAAGCAATGTGTGTATTCAAAACATCGTAGCAACAACAATTACGAAAAAAAATATCATTCTAAACACCAAACATAAAAAGTCGTGAACTTTCAAACCGATTTTGCGTGCGTTTTCCAAAACAAATAGAGAAGAAAAAAAACTATCAAAGCAATGACAGACAGTTATAAACATGCATAAATGCGCGAGCATTGAAATCGAAACTAAACGAAAAATAGTAATTAATTGAGCAAATCGAATTGATTTCTCACAAGACATGAACATTTTATCTCGTCTTTATGATCGGATTGCGGTTAATGATGAGATTGTTGGGGCTTTTTTTGGGGCCAAACACCAAACCTGCATCGATCGATTGATTCACACGGTGAAAATTTCGTTGTACTTTATGACCTTGCGATGCCGCAATTTAATGATATTATACTATGATTTCTGTTGATGTTGTGCGCTTGTTTCGTGGGTTTGAATTCGGTTCAATCGATTTCATTTATGAGGGGGAACAAATAACGATTGATGCGATCAAATTCGCTTAGAGAATGGAATCAAAACAAAAAAAAAACAACTGATTCGATGTGATATTCCATATTATATGATGTAATTTACTTGAGAAATCGCTTAAAAGCGCTTTTCCAACATAAAATGTGTCGAGATGTGTACTTTCGCATTTGAATGCGATTGAGTTTTATTTTTCATTCGTGCGTTCGTTCTTTCGTTGCAAAATAACGGTTTTATTAGTTCAACTTATTCTCATTGCAATCAATCGCATGTCTTCGTTAATGCATTCTCATCGTGCATCGTTCTGGATGCGATGGTGTGCTTTTTTTCGATGGTTCAATAAATATTAGATGAGTTCGAGTCAATAGATCGAGTCATGTCTAAATAACAATGGCCAATATGAATGAAATGCATGGAGATTTTTATGCTTGCTACTCAAGACACACCAAAGTAAGAGATCTGTTGAGCGAGATGTGGCAGGCAAAGAGAAAGAAAATCGGCGCACGTATACCATGATTTCGAAGCTAATGCCACAATTATAATTTTCTTCGTATTATATTTTCTTTCATCTCTGTCTCTCTCGCTTTCTTTTCATTTTAATTTCCTTTAACACAAAACTGAAAATCATCCCAAACATCGTTGCAATAATTTGTACATGCAATTGAATGGGTAAAAATGAGACGAAAAATACGCGTGCGGGTACATAGAATTTATTGGCATCGCGAGCAAATCGTTTTGATATCAACGTTGTACATTCAAACCGCATATTTGCCAAAGTGTTTTGGCATCAAATCCGATCGCAATTTCATCGTTGTGTTTTGTGTGTGAGTATCTGCTTTTTTCGCAATATTTTTTTTTCATCTCCTCTTTAACTTCAGATAATTTTTTTTATATTCAACGAGTTTTTCCATTCCGTGTTACTTTGCCGGATGCCTGTGAACGCATTGCGAACTCGGTGTTTCGTATTACTTCTTCTTCTTCTTCATTTAAAACTCTTTGTTTAAATTAATTTTAACAATCTCTTTAAATAGCACATTTTATCATCGAACATTCATCATTTTCATATTTTTTTTATTCCGTTCCATCTCATGCGCGAATGCAAGTGAGTGATATTGCGCGTTCAAAAAAAAAAAATAAACTGTTTTGCCCCGTTTTCATTTATTCGTCAATATAACTATAACATGAATTACGAACGAAACCAAACAAAACAGAATCGAACTGTAGCCAGCACATAACAAGTTGCATTGCAAATGTGCATCAAACAAAATACAAAAAAGTAAAAAAAAAACACACATATATTGCGTACGGTGAGATAGAGAGCCAGATGAAATGGGAAATGGAAAAATTACAATCGGTCAAAACGAAAGAGAAAGAGACAAACATAATCTAGAATCAGCTACATCACCCAATAATAAATACACACAAACATGTTCGTTGGCTCACTCTTCGATATGAGCAGAGAGAGAGAGAGGAAGCGAGAGCAAGATCAATTATAACCTTCATACCGATAAATATCGATTGGTATTAGGCAATAACAGCTCAGCCATTTTATATAGCTCGTTGTTGGCTGTTTTTGTTCGCGATTTATAAGGCAGATGAAAAAAGCTGCAACTCTCTCCGATCGGTGTTTAGTTGGGTTTTTTTTTACATTGAGCGCGTATCATCAAAGAGAAACGTTTATTTATTTATTGGAAGGCGATTGACTCGTCTGATCTTCTATGCGCAAAATGCATTTCAAAGAATTAAACATACAAAACACATGGAATTGCTGGGTTTTCATTAGTGCCAATAGCATTAACATTATTATTTCACCACCTCAACCAGAAATCCCTTATGCTCTGCGAATATGTGTGAATTTTCCCCTTCTCATGATCACAGCATGTGCGATTAAATGCGTGCTTTGGCTTTCTCACTCTCTTTGCATTTGGCCATATCATATTATTTACACACATGTTTAGCACAACAACAACAACAAATATCCAAGATATAGCGATTACAATTTACGATAAAAGAATGAGCATATATTTATGTTCCTCTCTCACACAAACACAATCAAGGAAAAATTATATGCTAAACGATTGAACGGATGAAAAAGAAATTGCGAGCACGGAAAAATGTTACTACAAATCGAGAGCGCATTTGGTCGACACCAAACCAAAGTGGTTTGTCTTATCGATTTGAAATTTATTTATGTACGACCATTGCAATTTTTTTTTCTCTCACTTGACGGCTTTACTTATTTTACCCATCCTGCCTGCTTGCCTGCCTCACTGTCGTTTTTTTCCCATTTTCTTCTATTCTGTCTTTTGTTCTGTCTTAAACAACTTATAATTCCATTTTTTTCCTCTCCATTCTACTGCTTTTGCTACTACTTTGACTGCTGTTCTGTATGTGCTTCTTCATTTTGGGCTCGTCGCATTTTAGCACGACGGCACACCAACCGACCATAAGTACAACTGAATGAACCACTCAGGAAAAAGTTGAGATATTGACTGCTTTGCATATGGATGTTCTGTGAGCTGATATTTCTATATACAGCTACCGTATGAAGAAAAACAGCAGAAATGTAATCACAATGAAGCAAAAGAAAAACAAAAACAGCCATTTTTACGGGAGAGCCAAGAAGTGAAGAAAAAGTATGTGCAACAGAGAGAAAAACCAAAGATGAAATAAAAATCCAAGGAAATTAAATGATTCAAGTAAAAGGCATCCTTCAACAAAACGTTTTCAATTCATACATTTTACGCTATATCATTTGTTCAGTTGATGATTCTCATTTTTTT